TTAAGCGAAGCAAAACTCAAGCAATCAGAGATCATAGAAATGAAAGAGGAATAAATAGACTAGACATCCAAATTCTCGTCCTTAAGCAAGATTTCAACCAATTCTATCTTCTAAGGAAGAGCGGAAAATCCCCCAATCAGTCCCGGAAGAATGTAACTTCCGTCTTTTGGAGAATCGATTTTTAAGTGAAACTCTGGCATTCATATTTAATCAAATAGATGTGTGACTACCCCAGAAGTCATCTCTAACACCCCAATCTATTTTAAGATAAAGAGAGGAATTAGCAAATGATAAATCTAAAGAAGAGGAATAATTGTTTTCCATCTCGAAATAAGTGGAAATATCATTAAGTAAGCAAACATCCCCAGCTCCTCAATACTCTCTAATAGTGGAACTATACAATTATTTGGAAGGTTAAAATCACCTCCAACGAGGAAGTCACCTTGGAATTGTGAAGAAAAATTTAACCATTGTTAACTGGACAGATTAGGAAGATCGGGGGATCTATACAAGGATATAATTGAAATCGTGCCCTGATCTGTAAATACCTTAATTCCGCAAATCTCCAGAGTACCATGACCATCGTTGATATTCTCCATGATGGAGTACTTAAATCCCTGGCGAACAAAGATGAGGACACCTCCTCCCCTGCGCCAATTCAATCCAATTCAATCGTTTCGGATTAAGTCAAACCTTTGAGCCTGATAGTATCCTCGGGTTCCAGCCACGTTTCTGAAATGAGAAAAATGTCAACACCATTCGAATACGAAGACAGTTCTAAAATCTTGTCTAATGCTTCTTGCATTCTATTGAACTATTGAGATATTAGCCATTTTTAGAGGGTAAAACTGAATTGGAAGGTTTCCCAATATCTCCGCAATTCTTAATATGCAGGTCAACTGTTTTAATCAATCTCATAGAGTATCTTTATCCGGTGCTGCTGAGAGTTTGACCAGGAAATCTTCCATTATTCCAGAGTTCCCCATCGGTTGGGAATGATTTTTAAGAACTTCCACGAACGAAGAACCCGGGCGAAAATTAAGTTCTTGCAAGAAACCCGTTCCGGGTAATCTCGAAAAATTCCTTAAGTCCTTTTGAAGAAGAGTCAACGGAGAAGCGGAAATTTTCAGAAGATTCAGTGATATTCTTCTAGCCTCCACATAAGAAATGTTATCCAGAACTATGGCCTCGTTAATGGATAGATTCAATTTAAATACTTGGCATTCTCTGCTTAAAGTATGGTGAGCCTCTTGACAATTAATGCACTTCGACTTGTCCGAACAAAGGTTATCTTTAGTCAACGAATGGGCATTCCCACAACTAAGGCAGATGTCCTCTTCCTTTGGACAACCCTTACTTGTGTGGCCAAATCTTCCATAGCGGAAGCATCTCCTAAGTGGAGGAATATAAACTGTAACCGGGAGACTAACTTTCCACACCCTAACAGCCTTGGGTAAGTCTTGATCTTTGAACGTAATATATATTGATTGGGAATCAACCCATTTTCTAGTTGTTCCATCTTTCCTTTTAAGTCTGAAGAGATTATTAATTGAAATAGAAGGATTCTCATATTTAATGGCCTCGTTCAATTCATTAAGAGGGATATTCAAAGGGATACCTCGAATAGCACCCTTACGTTAAATTCTATATCGTGGTACATATAGTGAAAGACTCAGTTTCTTGACTAGCTGATTCCTAACCGCAGTGTTGGCTTCCTGGAACGTACCAAAGTAAACCATCCAGATATTCCACGAGTGGTGGGCAATTGACTGAAACTTAACGTTTGCTTTTTAATAGTGCTTGATAATAGTCTGGAAGCCTCAATTACTGGAATTGACTTAGCGATAGCACGATCTCCCAACTTTCTAGCAAAAACAGAGTACGGACCTTTATTGAATCTATCGTGGAACACAATCGATTCCTCATTGGACGTACTAGAACCAGGCACGATGTTAGTTATCTTCGACTTTAGGCTATTGGAAGAAATTTTTCCTTTGCTTATATTTGAGTTATCCTCTTCACACTTGGATTTCTTTGAGGTCCTATTCTTGAGATATTTATTAATACCGAAAGTAACCCCTGCAATTTGAGAATCGGAAAGAATCTCCTCTGCAGATGACTCCGTAATATGCCTTTTGTTTCTTACAGACAGATCCAAAATAATGTCCATGACCTCTTCCCTGGACATAGCTTCCAGTTTGCCCTTCGAGGAAGTCCAAAATATTTACATCCTCTTCTTCGGTCATTGGCTCTTCAGAGGACAGGAGGATGAAACGCCCGCCTTCCTGATTCCGACTAATGAGATTATCAATAGTATTTGGCTGTGTCAAACGTAAAAAAAAAATTCCTTACACTAGATGTAGAGAGCGTATACAAGTACACTGACAACGGATGATGTCGCCCTCCACAAAGTGCGAAAATCTGACCAAGTAGACTCGAAATTGCGCAAAAGATCGTTCTGGACAAAGAAACACGTGCTATCACTTAACCCGACCAGCACGCTCTCTCCGAAACAACTCTTAAAAAGTGATTGTAAGAGGTGACATCTTTAGGGAATTCAGAAAGAATTCAGAAAGAATTTTTTATCTCTCTTAATCCTCCCTGCGAGATAACATTATTTAAAAGAGGTCGATATCCGTGGAAGCGTATTCATGTAACGGATGGAAGAGATAGAATGTCAATAAAGAAAAGCGAGAAAATGAAAATTCTCGGGATATAAATTTCAAATTTAATACGACATGTTTTTTAAAAACTTTATCAGTTTTTTTTTCAGTGCAAATTATTTAATAATTTCGCATAATATACAGGGTATCTGGAAAGATAAGATCAATCGAATAGGAGATGAAAGAGGAGCATGAGTAGAACACATAATGTAAATAAAATTTTTTTCGTATTCGCTATGATTTTGAAAATACAGTGCTTTATAAGGGTGCATAAAAAATGTTGAAACCCTTAATATTTCAAAAAGTACGCATTTTCGAAAAAAATGTTTTAACAAAAATTATAGGATTTTAAGTGAAGCATTACACAGAAAAATTAGATTTATGACCTTGAATAGCGTTCTCAACGTCACGTAGATAACTTAGAATTTTTTAATGGATATCCTCAGTTTTTATTGCATATTATAGCTTATCCCGAGGACTTTACAAAACAGTATATGAAATACGTTTTTGTTAGATACTTTTCGAAATATTAAGGGTTTCAACACTTTTCATGCACTCCTATAAAGTATTTTCATAGCGAATATGAAACAAAAAAATTATTTACATTATGTGTTTTACTCATGCTCCTTTTTTACCTCCTATTCGATTGACCTTACCTTTCCAGACACCCTGTATATGTATACAAAAGTCTTAAATAATCTTACATACAAAGTGTTTACAGAGAATCGCTGGATATTCTTTTAATAATAGATTTTTTAACTAATTTGGAGACAACGAAAATATCGAAAATATCGAAAATATCGAAAAACGTTGTCATTTTTTTGCAAATTTCCAATTTTGCTATCATACATCTTGTAGTTAAACATTAAATTAAATTGTATAAAGTAAACTTCATTTGAAAATAATTGGAAAACGTAATCTTATTAATTTATTAACTCTCTCTCTTTCTCTTTTCCCCTTTCTTTTTCTTTCCTCTTTTCCTCATTCTGTTTTTCTCTTTTTCTCTACAAAATTTAATTTGTAAAAAATTCTTCTTTTTTAATCGCTTAAATTAAAAAATATAATTAAAAATTATAATTAAAAAATTATAATTTTAAAATTATAATTTTTATAATTAAAAAATTATTGATATCTCAAATTTTTCGTTGAGGAAAAATTAAATTGGCTAAAGAATCCGTTATTAAAAGAATATCTGAAGTTTTTATCATATTCTGTATTATATATATACAGGATGGACCAAAAGTCTGGACACAGTCGAATATCTCGTATAGAATGCATTTTAGAACAAAATGATTTAGACAAAAGTTGTAAGGATTAAAAAGATGTATTTAACTGTAACATCCATTTGACATTGAGTGACGTCGCCAAGCTTAGGGCAAAGTCAACTTGAATTTTTTAAATGGAACCCCCTATTTTTTTTTGCATATTTTTGTAGCTTACCTCGAGAGCTTTCCAAAACACTATAATAAAGTATTTCTTCATTGAATACTTTTCAAATTACGAGGTTTGAAGTAATTTTTTAATTTTACATAAACCATAAAATATCTAGTAAAAAATTCATTTTTGGATTATTTTACCTTAATACTTTTATGTACAAAATAATGAGAGGAATCAATTGGTGTAAAGAAAACATACAGTTGTTTCGAAGAAAAAATATGGAATTGTTAATTGTAAATTACATATTTTTTCTTCGAAACAACTGTATGTTTTCTTTACACCAATTGATTCCTCTCATTATTTTGTACATAAAAGTATTAAGGTAAATTAATCCAAAAATGAATTTTTTACTAGATATTTTATGGTTTATGTAAAATTAAAAAATTACTTCAAGCCTCGTAACTTGAAAAATATTCAATGAAGAAATACTTTATTATAGTGTTTTGGAAAGCTCTCGAGGTAAGCTACAAAAATATGCAATAAAAAATAAGGGGTTCCATTTAAAAAATTCAAGTTGACCTTGCCCTAAGCTTGGCGACGTCACTCAATGTCAAATGGATGTTACAGTTAAATATATCTTTTTAATCCTTACAACTTTTGTCTAAAGCGTTTTGTTCTAAAAATGCATTCTATGTGAGATATTCGACTGTGCCCAGACTTTTGGGACACTCTGTATATATATATATATATTTTTTTTTTTAAGTAATACTAATTTTATTTTTAAGTGTATTCGTTAAACGAGATTTATTGTTAGTGTATTTTTTGAATACAAAATAAAAATTCGGAGCCCGACATATGTTCAATCCAGTCAAATTGACTGGACGGTTCGGGAAGATTCGTGCGTTCTCGGTGATGGTCGGGCTGCTGACACTGTGTATGTGTGTCTTCCCTCCGTACTCCTTATTCCTACTCCAGTGTTCGCTGCGACTCCGAGTAGGTGGGATGCTGTTGCGCGTTTAGCTCGACTGGCTGCTCGTAGAGTCTCGAAAATTTGTTCCAAAACGCGCCCCGCAACCGAGCCGTTCGTAGTCAACACTAGATATCGCGTGTTCGTGTTCGCGCAACAACATCGAATAAGAAAGTCGTCCATCGTGATCATCGACAGTGGTCGTTGCACGTTGCTCGCCGCATTGTGTCACCGTGTGTACGGAGCATATACGCGAGTCACCGGGCCGAGAGGGACAGACGGTTTCAAAGAGGAAGTGAGAGAGAGAGAGAGAGAGAGAGAGAGAGAGAAAGAGAGAGAGAGAGAGAGAGAGAGAGGGCGTGAAGGAGTGACAGAGAAGCATTGACCGGGGTCGCCATCGCGGAGAAAAGAAAGGCGGAAGGATTATATATTCCGGCAAACATGGCCACTGCGATCGACGACCGGCAGGAGCTATTGGAGCAATTTCAAGCGGTGAGTATTGTCGGTATCCTCGGTGAGAAATTTGCGGATCTCGCGCACTTTTCTTACCTCACCTTTCCGTCGTCTTGACTACTCCACGCGGTTTCTTATCGATCGCCGGTTTTATCAGCGTGGAAATCTACCTGTCCTCTAGGTTGCGTCTCAAAATTTTCTCCTTGAAGTGGAATAGAGTTTCGTTGACCAATCAGGACAAGGAAATTTTTGTTTCTTCCACCCTGATTGGTGGATTGAACGCTACTCTCTACTCCAAGAGAATTTTGGAATGTAGTCCTGTAGAAGCCGCGCCGGTTTTGTCACCACCCTTAATCAGCCGGTGCCTCCTGCGCACCTGTGAATCAGAATTGCAATCGACAACGTCCTTTTGAGGTGAATCATATCTCGCGCCATTTCCCAGGTCATTTCCCAGTAAACACAAAGTAACAGTAATATAACATTAATGTTATAATTTCCTATTCAACAATGTAACTGTTACGTACAAGGCATGTTACATTGCAGTTATGTTGTTGAGTGGGAAATTATTAAATAATTATTAAACATGAATCTTATATTACTATTACTTTGTGTTTACTGGGTTAACGAGATTCAACATGCCGATCGTACATATTTATTCCAAGCTATAAGCGGAATTGCGAATTTTCCGATCGTAAAAATTATATTGACGATATATAAAATCATCGGAACGATTGAAAATTTTTGTCTTAAATATACATATATTTGTTTTAAATATATAATCTGTATATATCCTATACAATTCTGTTAAATAGTTTTATATTAAACAATTTAAATGTAAAAAATATGGATTGTACTAAAAAATATAAGTATATAATAAAAATTGTTTAAAATTAAAAATAAAAATGTACACAATATATAAATTATGATACGTAATTAATATAGAATTATAATATACCGGGTGTTTCAGACCACCCGTACACCCCATTTTAAAGCAAAGGAAGTGGTTATTTTGAAAAATGTTTCAGACAAAAGTTGTTGAAGATAAAGTAATGCATTACATGGGTAAATTTGATTGACCTTGGGTGGCGTTGTGAAGGTCATGTCAAGGTCGACTTGAATTTTTTAAATGGGAACCCCTATTTTTCATTGCATATTCTTGTAGCTTATCTCGAGAGCTTTCCAAAACACTATAATTAAGTACCTTTTTATTAAGTACTTTTTGAGTTATAAGGCTTGAAATAATTTCTTAATTTTACATAAACCATAAAATATCTAGTAAACCATTCATTTTTCGATTATCTTACCTTCATACTTTTATGTACAAAATAATGAGAGGAATCAATTGGTGTAAAGAAAACACATAGTTGTTTCTAAGAAAAAATATGTAATTTGCAATTAACAATTCCATATTTTTTCTTAGAAACAACTATGTGTTTTCTTTACACCAATTGATTCCTCTCATTATTTTGTACATAAAAGTATGAAGATAAGATAATCGAAAAATGAATGGTTTACTAGATATTTTATGGTTTATATAAAATTAAGAAATTATTTCAAGCCTTATAACTCAAAAAGTACTTAATAAAAAGGTACTTAATTATAGTGTTTTGGAAAGCTCTCGAGATAAGCTACAAGAATATGCAATGAAAAATAGGGGTTCCCATTTAAAAAATTCAAGTCGACCTTGACATGACCTTCACGACGCCACCCAAGGTCAATCAAATTTACCCATGTAATGCATTACTTTATCTTCAACAACTTTTGTCTGAAACATTTTTCAAAATAACCACTTCCTTTGCTTTAAAATGGGGTGTACGGGTGGTCTGAAACACCCGGTATATATATGATATATATGATACTTGTATAGAAGATTATAACAAGAAGATTACGCAAATTTACATCGAAATTTCAACATTTCACATTATTTATTTCACATCATGTATTTCACACCTCAGTTAAGTCGTATATTCTGTAAGAAAATTTTCGCTCTGTAAGCTCTATAACTCTGTAGCTCTTTAGCTCTTTCTTTTTTTCGCTCTTCGCTCTTACTTTTTTACTCTACAGTGCTACATAGCTTATAGAGATGCAGCTTATAGAGCATTTTTACAGAATAGACCCATAAATCTCTTTTCTAACGTTTTTTACGTTAAGCTTGCGATCAAAAAAAAAAAAGAAAAATAATAAACTTTTCATTCTTTCTAATTGTAATATGTAAAAATTGTTCAATGGGAACGATTAAGTATTTCACACTCGATCGATCATGGTCTGACACAAAATTATATAATTATATTCTTTCATGAACTCGTTGACTGAGCTTGAATTGTAAAACAATGATAAATTGTATAATTATGTTACCTAATTTTACAATTTTAAAAAAGTTATAAAAAGATATTACTTTTTATTTCAAAAGGAATGTAAAATATTTTGATATAAGAGTACTTAAAGAAAATAAATTGTATTATAATTAGGAGGTCTCATTTTGCAATTTTAAAGACATTATAAGATGTTATTATTTTTCAATACAAGACTTGTAATTAGGAAATGAATAAGAATCCAAAATATTTTGATATAAAAACGTATTATTAACTCATAAATTTTTGTATGTTTGTTTTACAAATTAATTTGTTTTTAACATGTGAAGAAACTCACTGGCTACCTAATTTTATTGCCAAAAAAAATTTCACTAAACAAAATAAACACAAATTTTAAGAACAAATAAATAGTGTATTATATGAATTATTCGTTCAATTTTCTTTAGGTGAAGAAGCCAACTAAACAAACATCTAAAATGTAGAGAGTAGATTACTATAAATATATACATACATATATACATATGTATACATATATATTTAACATATATTTAATATATATTTAACATATATTTAATATATATTTAACATTTATACATAACTAAATTTTTAAATCAACAAACAGAATTCATTTATTTTTAATAAAATGTGAATCGCTTTTATTAACTTATACTTTAATAAATTATGCAATATTTAAATAACTCAAACTTAAATTTGAAATTTAATTACTTAAATTTGAAACTAAATTATTTAAATAATGTAAATTAAGTAATATTAATTAACTTATATTAAGAATAACATAAGTTAATTATTATTATAATAATAATCAAACTTTTATTAAACAAATCATTTAAATTTAAATTTTATATTTTGTATTTTTAAATTTTTATTTCTATAAAAAGTTTTTATTTCTACAAAAAGTTTTTTAGTTTTACTAATATTATATAACTTTAGTTTTATTAATATTATATTATGTAACTTTGAGAAACATGAATAAATAGTTATATATTTAGAATTCATTTCTATATGATATGACGCAGCAATTTGTAAAAGTTTGATCAATGCATCATTTTTCGTCTACACATCTTCAGATGATACAGTTAATTGTGAGCAAAATTTTACGATATAGATTAAATATTATTAAATACCGATAATATGATCGTGCATTGAGATGTAGCTATGTATACATATTTGATTGATTGAATAATATTTTTCTTAATACTGTTGGCAATTAAAACATACATAGATTGCGATATTGATGAAAAACAAAACTTGTTGAAACTGAGATAACAAAAAATTATACAATAATTAATAATTAATAGTTTCACACACACACAATATTATGTGTCTAAAATAATAATTCGAAAAATATTAGCAACAATTTTTGTTTAAGAAATGCAAATAATTATATTTTGCAGTTTAGAAAATAATTCAATTCAGTTTAGATACTAATTAGAGATAACAATTGTTATTTTATAATCTAGAAGTCCAAATCTATATTGTATAAAATAAATTAGGAGAAAGGAAATGGTAGAAGAAATAGCCAATTCATGTATAAACATTCTCTAATCATAATTTCGTTTTTCGATGATATTTGTCTTTTGTGTCATCATTAGTAAATTTTATGATCGCTCTTATTTTATTTCGTGTGAAGATAAATCAGAGAAATCACAAATATATTTGCTACAGCTTTTGCAAGTATAATTCGTCTGGTTGCTACTCAATTGCATTCTATTCTTTGTGATAGACATTTTACGGTTGATCGATTCTGAGCGCATAACTGCTTGTTTCTAAAAGCATTTTTTTTTACCATTCGCGATTTCGAAAGGTTACTTGACTCTACTAGTTGATAATGATTTTTTACTAAATAATAAATAATAAAACTATATCAAGGATTAGATCGTTTTATTAAATTTTTAGACGATGTAATAATATAATAAATATATCTACATTTAGTAAATAACTTTTTGTACAATTTTAATTCTGTATCAACATTTTTTTGATAGGAATTTTATTATAATGAATAATTTATTATAATCTTTTATTATAATTTATTATAATTTTATTATGATAAACAATAATGGAAATTTTGTTATAATATCATATTAAATTAAAGGACTTAAAGATAAATTAAATTTCTCAAGATTGTCAATTCAAAGTCAATAAACTAATTTTAATATTAATTATTAACAGTAATTAATTTTAACAATAATTAGTGAGACTTCGATTATCTTACTTTAATACTTTTATGTACAAAATAAAGAGAGGAATCAATTGGTGTAAAGAAAACACATAGTTGTTTTTAAAAAAATCGGAAAAATGGATATTTTACAAGATATTTTACGATTTATGTAAAATTAAGAAATGATTTCAAGCCTCATAATTCGGAAGTACTTAATGAAAACTAACTTAATTATAGTGTTTTGGAAAGCTCTCGAAATAAGTTACAAGAATATGTAATGAAAAATGGGGGATTCCATTTAAGAAATTGAAGGTGATCTTTACGTGACCTTGACAACGCTTTTCAAGGTCATACTAATATTACTATGTAATGCGTTACTCGAAACCCTATAACTTTTGTAGGAAACATTTTTGTCTGCCGTTCTCGGTTTTTGAGATATTCGGCTGGCACGGGTGATCTGATACACCCTATATATATATAGGGTGCATCAGACTACTCGTGCCAGCCGAATATCTTTCCGAATATATATATATATATATATGAGATAC